AAACGACAATCTGAATTCAAATAGATACATTCAAGTGTTGACAGAAAAAGGGATGGAATATTAGAACACCCATAATCTTTGCTATTTAGATGTATTCGGACTTAACTAATTATATTTTAGCTTTACCAGCCGAGAATATTTCAGTCAATGATCATTTTCACGATTTATTTGTAAAAGAAAGATCGATTAATGTTAATTATTCGAAATATATTGATAACTGTGCTCCTTTGTTATGTACTTACTATATTAATGATTAAATTGATTTTTCTTATTCAATTACTCTGTTCGTCAGTCTTTACGGTGGTCTCGTTATTATACTTCGTTTAATTGCACCACTTTTAATTGATTTCGTGTTAAATTTCAAATCTCGTTCAAGAAATATCAATAGTAAGTGACGATGTATTCGAAATATATAAATAATTTTCTACTTGTTTTTTAGTGTATCCACTAACACGTTTATCAAAGTTTATTCAATGGATGAAACGATTAAATTTGTTTAAAACGATCAATGATCGAACAGAGAATAGTATTAAACAACAAAGAATTATTACACGTGTCTATTTAGTTTTACTTACAAGTAAATTTACTTTTCTCTTTTATTATTTATCTAAAATTTTCCATGATTAGGTTCAATTATTATTCTTACTCTTTATAATTCATTGAACACTCAAATAATGACAATAACTGTTTCAAATCCATCATTTGACACTTATAATGATTTACAAAATTTCTATTCCACTACTCTCAAATGTCCGTGTACAACTATGACCATACCTTATAACAATTCCATGTCTTTATCTCCTACCTTACATCAAATATGTTCAAGTGATTTTGTTAGTAATCGTTGGATTGAAATATTGAGAAATAGTCTTAATGTTTTTGAAGAATCAGATTGGCGTAATCAAGCTTATACACAATTTCAATTATTATCGAATCTTTGTGAATTGGCTAATCAAACGATTAAAGATACTGTTGATGGTTTTCTTTTGCAATCGTTCGTTACTTCAAATATGCTGAATGAAACTAATTTTCATATACAATTAAATGTTACCATCAATCAAGTTTTTCAATCGATGCTTAGTTATTTTGATCTTCTACTGAATACAGTTGATCTTATAATACAAGTTGATCAACCATATATGGGAGTAGTAGCTGGTAGAGGTGCTTATCTTTCGACAAACATATATGGTCATATATATCAAGGCACTCTACAGGTAGATTCCATCCATAAATAATTTTAATTCAAATGTTTATTTTCATTCTAGTTTATATTTTTCTCACATACTATGCAAAATATCAACTCATCATTAGACATTCGTATTTGTGCTACGAATCGGAATTGTCAAAACTCAATTGCTACTTACGAGATGATTATTCCTGATTATAATGAATATGATCAATATATATTTCGTTATACGGTACCAGGATCAATTATGGGTTGTTCTAATATTCAATCACTTTTTCTGTCAACACTTGAATGTTTCTATTCGAATTCAGATTGTCTTTCAATCTTAAAAAATTATCTATATGAAAGATATATTCAGAATGTTGAAGATTCACTTTGGTTTGATATTCAACCACTTAACTATAATTTAACTTTAAATGTCAGTCGTTATCCTCCAAATACTTCAATATCAATGATAATCAAAGAACTAATGATCGGACAACGAAATCCGTTGATGTCATACAAAAATTTTTATGATTCATGTGCACCTAGTGATTGTACGTATTTGAAAAGAATTCATGATAAGACATTCTTAGAAATTATGATAATGTTAATATCAATGATTGGTGGTCTTACTGTATCATTGCGTTTAATTACGCCTTATGTCTGCACAACGATTTTGCATATAGTGACAAAACGTAACACAAAACAGACCCCGCAAGGTAATCATTAATAGAATGCCAAAGAGAGAAAGAGAAATTTAAGGATATGTAACACAGAACTATGTGTTACATATATACTATTTAAACTTACATAATCTTCATATCTTTTATTTGTTCATGATAAGAAAATAGATTAAAAGATGAATCCTTTTTTTCTTTATAGTTCAATTGAAATGGTGTGATCGTATTAGACTGTTTGTTCCGAAGTTGATTATACTTTGGAAAGGTACGTTACTCAATCTAAACATATTTCCTCAACGATATTTTAGCAGTAATGTTAGTCAAATGACAGCTAAACGTCTTGGACAATGGGCAACTCGTCTCTATATTATTTTTCTTATTCTTTTTTTTGCTGTTTTCTCTCTCGCTATCATCGTTCAACCAGAATTATCAACAAAAATTTTTCATCAACCATCTTTTGATTTATATAATGATCTTAAACAACAGTATGGTGACCAGCTAGAATGTTCATGTTCAACAATTTCATCGTTATATCGTGAATTTATCACAATAGAACCAATATTTCATGAGGTAACAAGAATATAATTAAATTATATCTTTCTCTACTAATTCTTTATTATTATTTACAGGTATGTTCAAGTTCATTCGTTTCAGATCAATGGCGAATTGATCTCACACAAAATATTGATTTTAATTTCTCTAATTATGATCAACAAGATTATCGACGTTTTCTTTCTGCTCATTTACAATTTCTTCGACAATTATGTCAACTCTCTAATCAATCAATAAATAGTTCTGTTGAACAGTTTCTTTCTTCATTATTCATTACTGATCAACTTTTATCAGAAGAAAATTTCAATACTCGTCTTTTCTCATTGATTGAACAAGTCAAATCAAATGCTCCAACAGGTGAGAAAACTTAGCACCGTATTCGAGTATTTCTTGTCCGGATTCGCCTGAGAACTTGTGTTAAGTCTAGAAGTGGTTGTGTTAGATTCAGAATTTAATTCTCTATCGAACCATGTCACTTTTGATAGCGGTCACCGGCCAGAAACTAGAGTTTTTCACAAAAAACCGTCTTTTTCACCCAGTTTTTGGGCTTAGAAATTTTGTAATTCTTGTCCGGATTCGCCCGAGAATCTGTGTTAACTCTAAAAACGGTTGTGTTGGATTCAGAATTTAATTCTCTATCGAATGATATACTTCTTCGAGGGGTTTATCGGGGGCGAGGATCTGAGCGTGGGTGTGGGTGAGGGTGTGGGTGTGTGGGTGTAA